CAGTGTGGGACAACGGACAATGAGCATCAATATGGGACAACAGACAGTGAACATCAGTGTGGGACAACGGACAATGAGCATCAATGTGGGACAACGGACAATGAGCATCAATATGGCACAACGGACAGTGAATACTAGTATCAGTGTGGGACAACGGACAGTGAGTATCAGTGTGGGACAACGGACAATGAGCATCAATATGGGATAACGGACTGTGAATATCAGTGTGGGACAACGGACAGTGAATATCAGTGTGGGACAACGGACAGTGAGCATCCATGTAGGACAACGGACAATGAGTATCAAAAGTATTTGGAGAGTGTGGTACTTGATGACACTCTTTGCTGTGTAAGAAAGTATACGTGCTTTAACAGATCCAGTCTTACAGTACATTTACATACGTTTTAGTCTCACCGTCCCGTACTTGTTGTTCCCCATTTGACGTCAGCCGTTATGTATAGTGAGTGAGTGTGTTGGATTACCGCCGTCCTTATATATGCGTGTCCTTTCGCTTTCATGTTTGTCATGTTCAAGTCCGGGATGGGTTTGCCTGTACCAGTGACATGTCTGACGTTATGATCCGGAGAGATATGTTTCTATGATGTTTTTCAAAATATCGATAAGGTTGTTTTATGAATTTATGAGATAAGACTATTTTCACTTTTGGTTTAATTATGTGGACAGCAAAGAAATACTTTCCTGCCATGTTTCATTTTGTTTATCGAGACATCCCTCGCGTTTCCATCATGCAATTCGTTATAATTTTCAAATCGCCCAAGAATCTAGTGCAAAAAACAGCACGGCACCAAATTACATTTTCTTTCGCAGATTGCAATCAACTTGAAGAGTTTCTCTGGAAATTGCCATTTCGTTCGCTTTCTCTATAATTACCTGAAAACACCCTTCTCCCTTGTGATAATTCCCCTACCCCAAGCTGTGATGTTTTGAATATCATCAAGTTTTATTTCTCTAATAATTGGCAAAGCACGCACCGCATCGGGCAGAAGTTCACACTGAAAGACATATCCAATATTTGAATTTTCTTTCAATTTCCTGAATTTGAAGGAAATTGCAAAGCCTATCGATTTTTCAACGTTTGTAATCACCTTATGAAATTTAAACTACTAACTTAAGTTCGGACCCAAAGGAAAAAACGGTTTTTCTCGCGAGATAATGAGGTGATTGTGAAAACTGAACTTGGTTCACTAAAACGAACCTTCGTATGAGCACAGTTGTGACTATCGCCACAACCACTCCATTAGACTGCCATAATTGTTTGATAAATAACACATTTGACAAACATGAATCACGAAATCTATATCAAATGTACAACAAATTATCAGATTTCATTCTATTTCTTGCATAATGGAATGCCCGCAGCAGATGGTGGCATCCAATGTGTACCTGACGCTTTGAATAGCACAATTCATTATTAATGCGTAGTAATGTATTACTCAAGTATTATTCGATCGATCCCATTTCTGGAGAATCCGTCACTTGCTTTAAGCATCCTTTCAAACAAAGCGATATTACAAATACGCAATTCTCTGATAATGAACATCCGCAGGCGATAAAACTGACTTAAAAGCTAAGGCACTCTTATTTCTTGTAAGCTTGAGTGAGTTAGTGAGTGAAGGTTGGTTAGTTTTATGTCAAGAAAACCAATATCGTAGGAAAGTAGGGAATGAGAGTAACGTTTTTCCGATTTTTGCAATATTCCAGCAATATCTCTGAGACAGGTCAAAACATTGATCACACAACAGTCTCGTTTCCTGCTGACTGGGTTCCGCCCTATTACGCAACTTAGTACAATAACTAGTCCAGACTTTGGCAACATCGGTCTTTTGTATATTTAACTTGTCACCGCGCGATATTGTTATATACTACCCATCAAAAGTATAGACACACTTAAAGCATTCTCTATATGTTATGTATATATATGTGGTTACATCGAAGATGAATTTCTCCCCAAACTTGGGGGAACCAACTGCAAACCGTATGCAGATGAATTGCACGAGGATCATGCATCAAATTGCTGAAAAGCTTGTGCAAATATATCATGCATGTGAACAGCTGCGTTTTGGTGTAAAGTTTTGTTAAGAATTCGCCAATTTTCACTGAGTTTCATCATTTATTGAACTCATGACCATAATCTTTTCAACTTTACGAATTTGTTTTACAATATATCAGTTCACGTGTAAACAATACCATTAGACAGTATGGAATATTTTGCTACATCTGTTTTAGAACAGTTGACTGAAGTAAGTGGGTACATTTTCATTTGTGAGTCTGAACTTTTGATGGGTATTGATGATAAGTAGTGATGAGAACAAACTTTGAATGACTTACTTTCACTACCACGGATTTCAGTTTAAGAATGTTTAGTGCTGTGCATGTCCGTCACATCTCAAGTACTGATTTTCATGGATACAACATTATTTTCTTTCGGCCTAGACCCGTGAAGATCCGGGGTAGAATAGGTCTTCAGCAACCCATGCTTACCACAATAGGCGACTATGCTTGTCGTAAGAGGCGACTAACGGGATCGGGTGGTCAGGCTCGCTGACTTGGTTGACACATGTCATCGGTTCCCAATTGCGCAGATCGATGCTCATGCTGTTGATAACTGGATTGTCTGGTCCAGACACGATTATTTACAGACCTCCGCCATATAGCTGGAATATTGCTGAGTGCGGCGTAAAACTAAACTCACCCACTATTGTTCTGACTCTGAATTTGTACCGCCACTGAAATACCAAAGTAGTGATTTGCATTAATCTGTAAACTCAGTAAACTTTAGAATACAATTGTTGTGCGGCGTTAAACTAAACTCACTCACTCATTTTTCGGCCTTGACTCAGCGTTAGAATTTTGTGATTGTTGGTTCGAAGCCACGGTCTCCACAACTATAGTTCCAGGTGTGCCAGCAACAAACCCGTGCATAAAATTCTTTGACATCAGTCACCTTCGAAAACCAACAGGATTCTGGTACGCCAAAGGTACGCAACTCTGTACAGCGACCCATGCTCCTAACATACCCAGCACCAATCATAACACAATTGCCTCCACCACATCAACACGAACCTCTACATCGTCAAGCTCAACATCCATGGTTGACTGAGTAAAAGGGTCGTCTCTCATCTCATCGTGAAATGTGATTTCCCTTCTCATCACAGAATTCGACGGGGCTGCGTCAAACCGGCACACATACAACTGGAAGTCACTCAGTCGAGAGATAATTTCCGTAACGTATTACCTAGGAGCAAATATTTGTTCACCACCTCTCCTCTTCGGCCACGAGATGGGGTGATAGTTTTGCGAAAGGGGGAAGCTTGACGAAGTGACACGGAGTCTATTTAGATGATGCAGGGTTGCTGATGAGAGAGCAGGGCGAATAACTGAGGTACTAGCCAGGCAGTACGATCCTGGTTTCATGGCTCTAGGGCCTTCTTACAGCAAAACCCTTCTCTGGTGGTTGACTTCTTAAAAGTTGTAATGATTTCTTCAAACATTCTCAACATCGGGGCAAAAGGTTGCATAAATTTCCGTCTTCTAAGGAGACATGTATATCTTAAAGTTGCCCGTGAAGATCCGGGTTAGAACTGATCTTCAGCAACCCATGCTTGTCGTAAGAGGCGACTAACGGGATCAGATGGTGAGGCTCGCTGACATGGTTGACACATGTCATCCTATCCCAATTTCGTAGATCAACGCTCATGCTGTTGATCACTGGAATGTCTGGTCCAAACTCGATTATTTACAGACCGCCGCCAAAAAGTTGGAATATAGCTGAGTGCGGCGTAAAACTAAACTCACTCACTCATGCCAATAGGAGGCCAGTTGCTTAGCCTCGAGGTTAAAGCGTTTGCTCTTCATGCTAAAGACCAGGTTCGATTCCCCACATGGTTACAATGTGGTGTCATTCGCGGTGATAGTGCTGGAATACTGCGTAAAACCAATCCATGCAATCATACCAATAAGAAATCTGTTTTTCTATGCTTACTGATTTCTTAGTTATAAAAATATTCAAGGTTCTTGAACATTAAGACCGACAACTCGATCTTTGGAGCTGGAGTGGTGAGTGCAAACATTGTCTTCAACCAAAACAGATATGTTGCAAAGTGAGTGAGTGAGTGAGTTTAGTTTTACGTCGCTTTTAGAAATATTCCAGCAATACCACGACGGGGGACACCGGAAATAAGCTTCACACATTGTACACATGTGGAGAATCGAACCCAGGTCTTCGGCGTGACGAGCGAACGCTTTAACCACTAGCCTACCCCATCGCCCCCATTGCAAAGAGTTTTATAAAATGTTTTTGTTAACACTTATAAATGTATAGGTGTAATTATAAGAAGTCTGGTTTTGAAGCTCCCTGGGCCCCTTGAATGTTAGATGGGGCCCCTTAGAGTAGTTTTCAACTGTTGTCCGATCCACCATCTGCAGTGTTGTTGGAAACATGGTTCTGATAAGGGTCCATTAACGTTACATCATACGCATTGACCCGCCACCAGTTGATAACCTTGAATTTGCATCGGTCTTGTAGATGGAGGACGCATGCGCAACAATGTGACAGAGCTCTCTTTATATTGACAATTAAACCCACGTCGGCGTATCGATTCTCGAGAGTGACAGTGACATCCGACAGCAATAACCGTGCCACTGACACAGCAGAGAGATGAACTGCCACCATGACACCACTACTCGTGTACGCAGACAGATTGAAAACTGTTGCTGCGAGTGAGAGCATTTCTACCCACAGCAGAATCGTCTATGTCATAATAAAAGAGATATAAAACCCGTAGTCTTACCACCGATCTCATATATGAATACGTATTAGTCTAACCATTCCCCGCCTCGCCAAAGTCGTTTGGAGGATGATAGCCAACCGACCCCACTCCTCCGTGATCTACCAGCAGCAGCAGCCATGTATCTACTGCTAGCGACTGTCTTCACGCGCAGCGGTTCTTTCCATTGGCTGAATGTGTCGTCTGCTTCGTAACAAGCTGGCAGGCCACGTGACCCGCTGTTGACGACCAGCAGACGACAGATTCTGTCAATCACGTTTTGATTCTGTGCTGTAATCACATTTTGTCTGAAGAACATCTTCACATGTTACCTATGGATTAACGGTGGATAGGCGATCGTCGCCTGTTTTCCCAACACATCAACAGCTTGTTGGCTTTACTTATGAAAAATGGATTTGTGATATTTTGTTTTCATCACCATCCATCTGTTTTGTCTGGGATAAAACGGTTTGTTGGTGCTCAAAAGAGAGGAATTAACTTAAATCTGGCGCTGGAGTTTTGTGATCGATATTAGTTTTATCCACGTTTTCTCTGCTTGCGTCAAGTTAGTTATATTGTGGGATTTAACTAAAGCTGGACAAAGGGACGAGAACGCCGAACCGCGATCTATACGACTCGATGGCAGTCTTTGGGTAAGTACCGTACGATTGATTTACATTGATTGACGTTACAGTAATCGATCAAATAAACACAATCACACATAAAAGATGTACATCTTTCTCTCATCACAACACAATATCCATTTATAGCCTTACGTTATCAGAAAATCAATTAAGCATAATCACATATATTTCTCCAGCCTTCCTTTTCGACAAAATATCTTTATTATTCAATCTACATATTCGTGGATTATGATTATTCATAGATTCATCAGACTTACGCCATTCATTGATCAATATCAGCTACAAAACGACCACTTTTTATATGACGTCACGTATTGAAATAAGTAATAAGTTATATATTTTAAGCAACGTTAATATATGCTAGAATAAGCATTGTCTTATAACTGTTCAAACACGTAAACCAAACCCTGTTTGATTTGATGTTCTGCTTGAGGTTTTGTATTTGTTTTGTTCTGAGTGACATTTTAAAACATTTGAATGCTAATACATCTACATTGTTCAATATTTGTTTTTCAATATATTCTGGCACCGAAGACAAATTTACAATCACGAGCGATGCAAAACGAAACAGACGAATGATTGTTTATTGTCCTTTGTCTTTAATATCAGAGGGTCAATCATTTGATCTATAGCTCAGTCAGAGCTTGGTCTGATCTATGGGTCTTGCAGCCATGCTGCTGAATATGTAAATGCGGTTGTATTATCACAAACAGGGCGTGTGTCAGTATCATAAGTATTCATATCGTTTTCATAATGGTTAAAATAATCCTTTAACAAACCTACAGATTACTCTTGGAGGCCCCGGAGTAATACCAAATGGTTGTATAAAATTGATTTTGTTACCGTTTCAGATATTATTCCAAATAACTGCAGCCTTCATTCTCAGACAGGTCATACAGACATACATTGGCATATATGACGCTGGGTTCCATATTAATGTATAATATATCAAAATACGCCACCATTCTGTATTCTGTGAATACCTATGTGATATACGCATTTGTGTGAATTCTGTGACTGTCGATGGTGCTGTGGTCACATTGATGTATGTAGAATGTAGACTGCTCCTGAAGACTGAAATTAAGTGCCTTGATTTTTAAGCATACATTATGGAGAACGTTGAAGTGTTCATGAAGGCTGTATCTAGCAAGCTCACTTCGACAAATGAAATGAGCTCGAAAGGCTTCGGCACATCACATGAAATGTCACAAAGCAAGCTCACAATGCAACACTCAATGTTACATCGTAATTGTTTTCAATTGATATATAGGTTTCGGATTTACGGAATATTGCGTTTATAAAGATAAAAAATACTTGATGATTCATTTCACGTGGGCATTGAGTTTTGTTGAGCTTTATTGAATGCGATTTGCTTAGTTTTTGTCATCGTTAACATCAATACCTTAGATACAATGATGCTTCAGTGAGAAGATGGTGAGGCTTTTATATCAACAATGTTCATGACAAGTCATGACTGAACATTGCAATGGGAGTGAAAACTTGTGATTTTGTATCTTCTTTTTGATAGGGTATTTACCATGTGAAATGTTCAGTCGACTATGGTGCAGATAACCCATTGGTTTATTGAGGGTAATTCCCAAGAACCGTTGTTTTGCCATGATTTTGATCTGTGGGGATCGTTGTGCATTTTCTGCTGCTAGGGCCATTGTAACCATACGATACACAGTTTAGCCATGCCTAATGGCAACCCGGATGATGTAACAATGATGCAAACGTACGTGTATTCAAGGATGAAGCCGTGAAAACCGATGGTACCAAAGTGGAGACGGCATTCCCGAGGCCTCATCAGGACATCCTATGGTTGGCTCGGTTCTGGCGCTGGCAGCCATTTTAACAATGGCGGGAGACCCAGATATGTGTTTGGCTCTCATTGTACATGTCGTACTCACATAAAAGTACATATGGCCAGTATTCCATAGGCGGATCCAGGGGTGGGGGTGGGTGGGTGCAGGGGGTGCGCACCCCCCATCCTCTTTTGTCCTAAAAGTTTATTAAATGACCCATGGAAACAGGTGAAAATTAAGTGTGCACCCTCCTTTTCTCAAGAGTGTGCACCCCCACCCCCTTTCTCAAAAGCCTGTATCCGCCCGTGTATCCTACCTTTACCCCCTGTTGCTTCATGCAATGCTTGTGATGGCAGCGTTTGTTTCAGGGCTGAAGAAAGACCTCAATATTGCTGACAAAGTGTTGTCACCCCCCTGAAGTGACTTGTTATAATATGATCTTTCATCTTTAAAGGTGTGATGTGTCATAATGTGTATTCATAAATTATAATTCATCATGGTCATCAACACAACTATTACATCATCATCGTCGTCGTCTCTGCAACGACGATGACGATGATGTATTTAGCCATTAGAGATGGCTAAACTGTGTATCATGTGGTTACAATCGCCTCAGCTGTAGAAACGATCAGACGTACCTGATTTTTGTCGTTATTACCACTACTCGTACAAACATGTGTGGTGTAAAAGTGATATATTTCGTGCAATCAAAACACTTATCTTATGTGTGTATTACCTGATTTTTTTATTTTACTGTAATCCATTTGCTCTTGCAAACTGGGATATCAGTGGATACATAACAGAATGACACATAAACTTATATACAGAAGAAAGTTCACTTAGTTGTGACTTAGTAGTGACAAACGTCGTGTACGTGTTGTTGACGATAAATTTATGATCATGAACACTGACCCAACGCTGTTGATGCCGATAAGGTTATTATCATGAACACTGACCCAACGCTGTTGATGCCAATAAGGTTATTATCATGAACACTGACCCAACGCTGTTAATGCCGATATGGTTATTCTCATGAACACTGACCCAACGCTGATGATGCCGATAATTTTATCATCATGAACACTGACCCAGCGCTGATGATGCCGATATGGTTATTATCATGAACACTGACCCAACGCTGATGATGCCGATATGGTTATTATCATGAACACTGACCGAACGCTGATGATGCCGATAATTTTATCATCATGAACACTGACCCAGCGCTGTTGATGCCGATATGGTTATTATCATGAACACTGACCCAACGCTGTTGATGCCGATAAGGTTATTATCATGAACACTGACCCAACGCTGTTGATGTCGATAAGGTTATTATCATGAACACTGACCCAACGCTGTTGATGCCAATAAGGTTATTATCATGAACACTGACCCAACGCTGTTGATGCCGATATGGTTATTATCGTGAACACTGACCCAAAGCTGATGATGCCGATAATTTTATTATCATGAACACTGACCCAACGCTGATGATGCCGATATGGTTATTATCATGAACACTGACCCAACGCTGTTGACGCTATTATTATTATCATGAACACTGACCCAACGCTGATGATGCCGATAATTTTATTATCATGAACACTGACCCAACACTGATGATGCCAATAAGGTTATTATCATGAACACTGACCCAACGCTGTTGATGCAGATAATTTTATTATCATGAACACTGACCCAACGCTGTTGATGCCGATATGGTTATTATCATGAACACAGTCGGGGAACATGAACCCAAAGAGATACCTGTATTAAATCCATCGATTCACCACTTTTTGTTTGTTGATGCCGATATGGTTATTATCATGAACACTGACCCAACGCTGATGATGCCGATAATTTTATCATCATGAACACATGACCGATAAGGTTATTATCAACGCTGTTGATGCCAATATGGTTATTATCATGAACACTGACCCAACGCTGTTGATGCCGATAAGGTTATTATCATGAACACTGACCCAACGCTGTTGATGCCGATAAGGTTATTATCATGAACACTGACCCAGCTGATGATGCCGATAATTTTATTATCATGAACACTGACCCAACGCTGTTGATGCCGATATGGTTATTATCATGAACACAGTCGGGGAACATGAACCCAAAGAGATACCTGTATTAAATCCATCGATTCACCACTTTTTGTTTGTTCTCTGGTTTGACCAATCCAGCACACCTATATATACATACACGCTCTTTTGCCCTTGAGTTTATATCGCAAGTCACAGGAATGACAGTTTTCAAACACGTAAATCCAATATGACCTCCCTTGACATACAACACCTCTAATTAAATGAAATCCAATATATCACCTGTTGACACCGTGTCCCCACTTCAGGCAATTGCTATATAATAATGACCTTTCGACCTCATTCACGTCCTGATTGAAGCACAACCGATACCGTATGATCGCAAAATGTCGCTCGAGTCTAATGCTAGGGAGACCCTTCGAAGACATTCATTTCCTCTTAAACCAAGCGTAGTACATATTTAAGGTTTACCTGTGTCTCGAACAGGTAAACCTTACAAATGTACATTGTTACATTGAACTTATCAATTAAACAATCAATATCTGTTTATTGTTCAAGGCTTATGGCCCATGTACAAAGTAGATACAGTTTGTGGCATTTTGAGGCAAGGTGGCAATAATACAGGCTTGAATAATTTATGAATGACATATTTTTGCAAAGTAGTGTATTAATGTAACAAATGTCTATTAATGTACAAAGGTAAGGTTGTATTTCTTTCTGTCGGAAGTCACAACAACGATGATGATGACGACGACGACGGTGATAACGATGATGATGGTAATGATGATGATGATAACAGCGACGATGACAACGCCGATGATGATGATGATGATGATAATGATTATGCGTCTTAGGTTCAATACTAGTATTTACCAAATATGATTCAATATAAAAGATCTATTTTACAACTGAATAGACATCTGACATTTAAATCTAATAGAATAAAAACAATGATCGTCAGCAGTAGTCCCTTATCTTGAGGTGCAGCTCATTTCCAAACATTCATATTTTTGCTAATTTTTGATGGTATCGAGACAATCAAGACTGGTTATTCTCTGGCGTTGACTTCTTTTCTTCCCATATAAAACCAAAGTGAAAAATATTTTTCAAGATAGTGCACCCATGTTCTCCAGTCAACTTTGAT